TTTGGCAGCTATCCTGTTGTATCATCTGTTATGAAATCCAGAGTAAATCTGGTTTACAGGATATGTGAAGCCAGGTAACAAGAATAGTGACAGCCATGTAAGAGAAAAAAATCATAAGCACTAAGTCCCATTTGAGCCATTATATGTCATATTTCATTTTTTATGTGAAGAAAACAAGTACTACATGTAAAAAATCCTGCTTGGATGAACACTGGATGCTGTTGTGCTTTAGCTTACACTATCTCCATGTAGCCTATACGCAAAGTGTATTCAACAACCGTCTCAGCAATCTGCAGCTTACCTTTTACCGGATGCTGTCAGTGCCAGAGTCATTTTGAAGGTGACAAGTTTGGTGCTGGGCAGAAACTTTAAACAGAACAGAAGAACAAAGGATTGTTTCTGGGTTGCAAGACTGATGTGAAATTATCCATGGATTAATGCATGATCAGACCAGAGGCACTTGTGTTTAAGTGGATGCAGCCCGTGTTACTGTAGGCTGTAGCCATGGAGACATCTGCGTTAACCCTGTGTGATATGACTGCAAGTGGCCAAGGATGTAGGGTTTTTATAAGTATTTATCTCACAGATGGTTTTAAATATTTCATGTGGGATTAAATGACTTCATATATCATGATCATTTAGAAAAACAATAACACTGTGGATTCCTGTGAGAAGATGAGAGTTATACCAGCAAAAGAAAGTAAGAGCCGGAGTGAAATGCAGCAGGAGAAGCAGAGCAGCATTTATTGTGTCCAACTGAGTGCTAGCCTAGTTTGACTGTAGATGGAGAGAAATGTTTACATCAGAGGGGGCTCTGCGCAGTCCATGGCTCTGTGGAGATTTGCTTACAGTGAAAAAATGGTGGAGGTAAGATGGCTCAGAGGATTCAGGCTCTGCTGAACACAGACTTATGTCTAATAATCAGCAGGGAGGGACAGAAAAAGAGGCATGGAGACCACGATAGAGAGAGACAGAAAATAGAACAGAGGAAAGATTGAAGGCAAGGAAAAAGTGAGTACAAGATCTAGTAGGAGTTATAGGAGAGAGAAAAAAAGATGGAAAAGACACGTCCCTGTGGCCATGCTATTTCTCTCCCGCAGTGGCTTTTATGTGTATGAGAAGATTTAGCTGGTTTACATATTTCTACCCCTATTAGTTCTGAAAATGATGAGGAATTTTGTTAAGAAAATGAATCACTGACCTATAAACTGAGATCTGGCCCATATAAATATTCAAGGTCATCCAATGTCTCATTAATTCTCTCTTCATTAAGGTTTTTTTTTTTTTATGACATTGTTAAGGCTGTAGTGGTTTTACAGGATGGTTTTTACAGTTGCATATATCTCAGGGCTAGACTGATAAAAATGACTGCTGATGCCTCACTGATCTTTGCCAGATGTTCCAGATTGCAAAGTCACTTATGGCGCTTACTGACAGCGCTACAGACAGAACATCCTTGTCCATTAACGCGGACTAAACACTCACACATACACACTCATGTAATACATCAGCAGTGATCCAAACCACAAACACATCATGTTACTCTGTCTCCGGTGATGCAGCGCTGACTTGTTAATATCAGCGTTTCATGCGTACCACGGTTGTCAAAACATGGCCTAAACTCATGTGTGTTTGTTCAAGCTTCTGAGTGTGTTTGAGTATGGACTGTGGCGCTAAGTGATGCTGTGGTCATCATACCCCCAAGGTCAAGCTTTCTTTTTTTTCTGTGAGGGCTGAAATATGTCCACAAGCCACTCCACCAATCCAGGGCTTGAACTGCATGCCCATTTAACGGGCGTCTACTGAGGGGGAGCAGCACGGTCGAGGTCGGTAAACCACAGCTCAGAGGCGGCTGCAGAGCAACACAACAGCATTTTTGCAGAGGCCCAATGAGTGATTACCTCGTGAGCTCCAGTCATAATTCAGCATGACCTCAATATGCCAGCAGCACTATGAGGTGATGGATCTGCTCACGGTTTGGGTGCTGGATTCTCACATGTCAAACAATGGCAGGTAATGATAGGGCTATCTGTTGCTTTTACAAAGGAAAACTTGCTAGATGTGAATGTAACACATACTGATGTTGTTCCCTTTCTGTTCACTTCGTCTGGATATCATTCTCGACGTAGATGTCAGAGTAGACACTAGAGACAAAACATTGTCACAAATGATTAACCCCTACCGTGATGCCTGTGGTCAGTCAGCCTATTCATCATTCCTGGATCTTATCAGTCAAAGTCAGTGAAAACACACGCACACGCACACACACACGCACTCACAGGCACAGACATACAGTATACACCTCCCAGTGTTGATAATTAGTGGATTCCCTCAGTGGGTGATAAAGCTCTTCCCTCCTCTCTCTCTGACCTTCCCCAGTGAGCTTCCTTCCACAGTGGCACTCATCACACACAGCTGTAATACATATTTATTGGTCTGTTGGCAGATTCTGTACGCTGGATTTATACGATTCTCAACAAACAATAGTAAAACCACTCTTCCTAACTTTCATCAGCCATAACAGGAGATAAATCTAGTATTGTCCACCTGGCTGCAGGGCCATCTGTGGGTTTGGGTGCAGGCAGATATGGGACCAAGCCTATTTCCGCTCAAGTTGCTTTCCTCAATTACCGCAAACAGATTTGATATACGTATATCTGTCAAATGGCCCCGGCAATCAGAGAAACTGCTCTCCTGGCAAACATTTTCTTAAAACAACTTCTGATCAAAGACATTGAGAAAGTGGCTGTGGCATAGCTGGCGGCATTGGGATTCAGGACAGATTCCCTGCACCATGACTGGCTCTGTTTGCACAGCGCAATCTAAGTTGAGAAGTGAAGAGGCAATACCACTAAAGAGTGAAGGGAGGGGAAGGAAGGGGAGAAGAGGAGGAGAGGGGTGGGATGGCAGGATTAAACCCCAGCTTCCCCCTCCTCTTCTGGCCCCGAGCACCCATCTTTCATCTTGCCGCTGTCTCTCTAATGCTTTATAGTGGGTGAAACACTCGACATCAGCTCCTGTTCCCTGAGACAAGGCACAGGACACCATCCTGCAGAGGCGCAGAACGACAGGACAGCTCGGACGAAGTCACAGAAAGCTGATGATCTCATCCGTGTAGAATGAGACACGGGATGCAGAAACACACAAAAAAAAGACAATTTCTTGCACAGAGATTAAATCAAAAGCTTACACGCAGACCATGTGCTGAAAGCTTCACTGCCAGCAGTTGCTTTCACAACCAAAAAACATTGTTCAAATACAGTAATTGTGGCTTATACTGGTAAACACACTCACCACAGAAACATTTCACAGTTCACTCACCCAGACACATTAATTCTACTTACTACTTGCGAACAAATAAATGTAAATAGCTCTGTAAATAAACACTTCATCTTCGCCAAGGAGAAATAAGCCCCCCGCTGCCTCTGATTAAGACTACCAAAGTGATATATCTGGCACTTAAGTCTGCTGTTTACCTCATAAACACAAAGACTTCAACACAGCCACCCACACTGACACTGAAATATCACAAACGGAGTCTGCGTGCCTGTACATTTGTCTGCTAGTTTTTGTGGCTTCAGTGTAGCATCATTTGCATTTCATTCGCTGTGATTTTCAGTCTTATGAATGCAGTGGAATTTCTTGACTCTGGCAGTTGTAGTGCCATGAGCAATAGAGCAACATTGATGAGCGGTAGCTTCGCCTCTGCTTTTCTCCGAGATTGGTAAAACGGCACTTGTGAATTCAAAAACCATATCAGGTGCACAGATGAGTGGTGCTGTCAAGACAGAGACTGTGAGGCACTGATGATGATGTGAGGGAGGCCTACCTGAGACAAAGACAATGTCATCTTGCCTTCACTCCACTTTCTACAAAGAGAAACTGTTCAAAGGGGGGACACAATTCAATTATTTCCAAGGAAATTATGTTTGTTATTTAGGATCTGTTCTTTGTGGTGAAAAATCATTTCGGATTTCCTTCATATTGCACTGCAACTAAAATGTAATTTAATTTGTGAGAGCACCCCATGAGATTGGAGATTTGTTCGCCATGGTTTCTGAATACCTTTCACCCCTTTAAAGCCCCCCCAGACACACTCACACACACCTATCTAGATTCAGATGGCCTGTTAAATCTTACCCCAACATTGTGTCTATTTCAATATATTACAAACAGGAGGGGACTGTTGTGTTCTGCTCAGTCTGGCCTCCTTTATTATGTACCACTGTGTTGCATCCTATTGCCAGGTGAATATGTGCAGACGTATTTCTTCTGCAAATGTAGGGAGTAGTTTTAGTTATAGCAATGTGCTCCTGTAGAATTTTGTGATCTTTCAGGTAAAAATGATTGTACCTACACAAGGCATAACTAATGCAGAGGAAATATTTGTGTATGTGTGTTTGTGCACATCGATGGCAAAAAGGAACATCTGTGTCTATAACTGCAGTGTTTGAGGTTTATCTAATTGAAGCTAACTTAAAAAGTACATGGGGTGGGGTACATGGTTAATATATTTAAGAACACAAATTGGAGTTGTTCTGCATTTCTGAATTTTATACAAGGGAAGGAAGTCACGTTTGGTATGATATAGCCTGTTTATGCACCTGCTATACGCAACAAAGCCTATACAGCAAGCTATATTGGTAGCATCTGCTCCTGACAAATATACAGATATTACTAAGAGAGAAGAAGGGGAAGAAGAAGGGAAGATGACAGACAGAGTGCTGATTCCCTCCTCCGTCTGTGAGCTGTCTGTGAGACCAGGCCATCTGCACATTCATTATCACAGTCATGATTCTATTATTGTTCTGTGTGGCAACAAGGACTTGCTCAGTCTGGCCTTTGTTATTCTTATCAGCTGTGTAGCTGACAGCCCCCTTTTGATCATGGCAGCAACAAAATTAACAACTATCATGTAGTATAGCACATAACTGTATTACCTTCCATAATAGTGACACTCTAAACAAAATCTCATCTTTTCTTCCTGTGTCCTTGTGCAGGTCTGTTCCACAGAGCCATCATTCAGAGCGGGTCGGCCCTCTCCAGCTGGGCAGTGAACTATCAGCCGGTCAAGTATACGCGTCTCCTGGCGGAAAAGGTGGGCTGTAATGTCCTGGACACCTTAGACATGGTGGATTGCCTGAGGAAGAAGAGCTCCAGGGAGCTGGTGGAGCAGGACATACAGCCAGCAAGGTACCACGTGGCCTTTGGACCCGTAATTGATGGTGATGTTATCCCCGATGACCCAGAGATCCTGATGGAGCAGGGCGAGTTCCTCAACTATGACATCATGCTGGGGGTCAACCAGGGTGAAGGGCTGCGGTTTGTGGAGAATGTGGTGGACTCAGAAGACGGCGTGTCTGGAAACGACTTTGATTTCTCCGTCTCTGACTTTGTGGACAGTCTGTATGGGTACCCAGAGGGTAAGGACACACTGAGGGAGACCATTAAGTTCATGTACACAGACTGGGCAGACAGGGACAATCCAGAGACCAGGCGCAAGACACTGGTGGCTCTGTTCACCGACCATCAGTGGGTAGAACCATCAGTGGTGACGGCTGATCTCCATGCTCGCTACGGCTCACCCACCTACTTCTACGCCTTCTACCACCACTGCCAGAGCCTGATGAAGCCAGCCTGGTCAGACGCCGCCCACGGGGATGAGGTGCCCTATGTTTTTGGAATTCCTATGATTGGTCCCACTGATCTTTTCCCTTGTAATTTCTCAAAGAATGATGTCATGCTCAGTGCTGTGGTCATGACCTACTGGACCAATTTTGCCAAAACTGGGTGAGTAAAATGTATTTGATTTTTCATCAGTTGTACAATTTAGGAATGGGTATCATTAGCATGTTATCCAAATTAATTTAGTTTAACTTTTTTCCCAGTGTGATTAAGGAATGCTGTTAGCTGCTCATCAGGAGGGTTGTCTGGCTTACACCTGGTGTGTGCACAAAAAACACAAAACCTTTTCCTCCAGTATATCAGTGAATGCACACAAGCAGTTAGTTGCTTCAAAAATGCATAACATATCAAATATAAGGAAGAAAATGAATGACATACCTTTAAAGTCAGAGTTGTTTGCTTGTGACTATGCTGCAGTTAGGGTTAGCTTTTAAACTGTTTATTTAAAATGTCGGTGCTACTTTCTGAAGTTAATAACTGTGGGGCTGTTTCCCCTGACGCCCGGTGTTACCTTTACTTTAGAGTGACTTGTTGAGTTATTCTGGGAAGTGGAGCTGATTGCTACCTGGAGCTGGCTGGTACATGCATAGGGTTTGATTTATTTTCACTTGCTTTGCTACAGTTAGCTCAGTATTTTTGTTTGTTTGTTTGTTATCAGTAATGACTTCTGCAGGATCTTATCAGTGTTACAGTTCTGACCAGTCAGGAACCAGAGCCGATGTAAACCTGGTCCTCAGTATCCATCCCAAATGTGGTTGTGGGTCTAATAATAGTCGTCATCCAAAATATCCATACATATTGCTTGTTTGTCTTTTAAATGAGTTAAATAAAATAGTACTTTCAATTAGCTAAAACAGCAATCACGCAATTACAAACTTGCTAAGTTATTAATAGAAAATAACAGAGCGGCATCCTCTCTCAGTCCTATTAAAAGAACTTCTGTGCCACAGGAAAGAAGCTACAGGATGAAGGAAGCCCCACAATGGATAGTGTGGAACAGAAAAGGCATTTTTCAACAGGGACATTTTTTTCAGAGGTGTTTTTCGCCTGGACTTCCTGGGTTTCAGGCTGAAAACCTGAGACATATTGAATCTGAGGAAGATTAAATGTTCTTCCAGAATTTGTGCTGTGTTATTCGTGCTTGGCTGACTGTATGAGTAGAGTATGTGTGCACAGCTGCCTGCCTTTCTTTATACTTTTGTGGGTATGCATGCGCGAGTTTATGTTAGTGTGTGTGTGTCAGCGAAAAATACTATCTGTGCCCTATTATACCAAGGCCCAAAAGACAGACTTATCAGGGAGGCATATCAAACTCTTGCCCTTGGTGGTATTGATTCCCACAGCCTGGAACCAGTCGATCACTCGTGCCCTGGATGACTCCCACTCCCCCACCATGCTCAATTTCTCTCCCAGCCATCACAAAGCCGGGCCATTTCATGTGACAACTAGTAATCATTTGTAACAACTGAAATTTAATTTGGCATTCCCATATTGATCCCATCCTCAATGGGGTGCAGTCTGAAATCTTGTTCTGTTTTTATCTGTCTCTACATCATCCTCTGTGAAATCAGGAGGCATTTACATCCAGTTGTCTGGCTGATAGGACAAGCCCCAGGCCACCGGGGTTTGCTAGATCCCTGAACAGACTAGTCCAGATGGACTGATGTCAGCTGTTTTGGCTCCTCAAGGAAAGCAGTGAGGTCCGTCAGCGTGCACGGACTAAACAGCTGTCTCTTCCGCCTGGCAGCCGTCTTGTGTCAACACACTGCTGCAATTGTAGATACAGATAGAATATATTACGTGTCCTTCAGAGTCTATTATCTGCTATTATAAGAAGAGAGGATATGTCTAATTTTAATGAGAAAAGTTTGAGGCCTGAAGGTATCAATGCACGGTGTTTACATACTGAATTGCTCTGAACTCGGATCTTGTGAAATTAATTCTGATGGATGATGACAACCTTCTCCATCTTACCTACAACCAGAGCGCCACAGGCAGTGAGCCTCCTGTAATCCTAACCCAGCCTTCACCCTTGCAAGCAGCAGAAATCGAAACAACAAATTGCACTTTTGACCTCGTGTCAGTTTTGTAGATTTCCACGTCACGGACTGATTGAGATTTGAAGTGGAACGGTGGCAGAGTAAACACGTTCTAAGTCTGCATTCACCATGTTATGGGTAATATCCACCTCATGGTGTGTCATGTCACTCCAGCCAAGGGGATTACAGGCAGACCACAATTAGATACTCAGATATTAAAGAGCCTGGGATTAGATGCCAGGGTAATAGAAAACTCAGTGTGCAGCTCCAAAGGATCATTTTACTCCAAGTCAAGTAAAGGAATCTGCCATCAACTCTTTGGGGTGGGGCGTGAGATATTTCCCACAGATTTTGAAGTTCGTCCTCATTCAGACCACACTAGGGGATATAGATCTCTCCTCCAAAACCACCAGAACCAATGTGGCTCTAGGAGACATCCTTTTAATTAAGACCCAGTTGAATTCCCTTTGCCCTCGTGGTCCATCCAACAACCATCTTCCCTATATTTGTATAACAGCTCTAGCTCCCCTTCCAGATGTTCGTATAATGAACTGACCTAGATTGACTGCCTGCCCCGTCTCTAAATCAGCTGTAGAAACATGTGTGACACGATGCTGAGACACTTGGGCTGCATGTCAACAGTGTGTATCATAGCAACCAAAGCTCTTCCTGCCCCTGGCTCTCATGTGTCATCTTTACAGGGCAAATCCCTGCCTATGCCCTTTTTTTCTCCTCCATCAGCGTCAGTGAAGCATAAAGAGAGCGCACACTGTCAAATCTTCTTAGTGTGTGCGCGTGGACGCGTGTGTGAGTGCGATTGTGAGAGGATGTGTTTACTCTACGAGGCTGTTCTTTGCTGAGAGTTAGGGATGTTTCAGAAGCCAGGGATTTACTCAGCTCAGAGTTATTTTTCTGGCTGCCACATTTGTTTTACTATTGACAGGCAAAATTGGCCTGCACTCTATTACCACAACAACTTCTTCTGCACTGTCCTCCAAAACTTTTTGCAGCAAGTCCACATACTGAGACTGCCACACTTTTTTCAAACACAGAAGCAAACAAACAGCAAAACGACTAGGCTATACACAAAAACACTGGCAGAGAACTTCAGAAAAGACAAAGTGATGAAAAGCCCAGAAAAGATCAATCATTATATATCATTAGTGCTAAAAACACGTTGGCCCATCTTCCCGCTTCTTGTTTTTTTTTCCTGCTGGTTGGTGCTCATTTCCCCTGTGCCACAAGCTGTGCAGGGCCTTACTAGGTAGCTAAAGAGCAGAATGCTGTCATGTGTTGGATTTTTTACCTCAGTCATTTCCACTGCTCCGAGATCCCCCATGCTCTCCCTCATTATTCTATACAAAAAAGAAAGTCCGCTCATGTATTACATTGACAATATGAGCTAAAATATGCAGTATTGATTGCTTTGTCTTTAGTGACAATGACCAAACGAATGTAGATAGAAGTAGCTACAGTCTATCTTTACTGCAGTTTTTCAGCCAGCACTTTGATTTACAACCCTGCTAGTTATTTTATTTATTTATTTATTTTCCTGCTTGGCAATCGAGCAGCCCTCCTCTGTAGGGTTAACGACATGTATACATCAATTCTTCCTCCCATCTGACCTCATTCATGCACTGCTTCAGCCTTTCTTTCTCCCCCAGCTGTCTAGTACTTACATCACTCATCCCTGATACCCCCCACCCCTGTCCTTTCTCCAGATTATCCCCTGGTCCCGTTAGCTTCCTTTGTTAACTCAGCCTGTACCAAGAGTTGGTGAATGCCTGGCATCATGTGACAGCACAGCCCCAAACAGCTACCTACCTAGTCCATTAAATAGGCACTCTCTTGATTGGAGATTTGTAGCCAATATTCTGATTTGCATTAGAGAAGGTAAGGAAGTGGTCTGGCTTGTTAAGGGGCCCGGTTGGCATTGATCTGCATCCATGCTGTGTGCTGAATGTAATAAGAGCAGGATGGCAGGGGGAGGAGGAGAAGAGGAAGCAGATCTACAGGTAAACACTGTAAGTGGTTGTCAGATTAAAACAGGAATATATACTAATAATATTCATATTAAATTTAAAAAGTGCAATTTAGAAGTCATAAATATTTGTTAAAAGAAGGAGAAAGAGAAAGCGGAGAAGGCATTGGAGGAGGGGGAAGCGTTCTGTTTGCTGCCACTCGTGTGATCAAACAAATCAATAGCATCCATAATAAGGAGTGGTCATAGAGCTGTGTCCTTTAACACCTCTACACC